CGTCACGCCACACCCGTGGGGTTTGCACAGGTAGGTGGGCTTGCCGGCCACAGAGCGCGCAGCGAGGAGAGAGCCACGGAGCTCCACGGGCGCAGCCCTGAGCCTGAGGATGGCCGGCGGGGACGGTGCTGAGACGCCCGACAGCGGTCGCGAGGGCCTCAGCGCCCTCGAAGAGGGGAGGGGAGAGGTAGGGGCGGCGTCCGAAACTGTCCCCCAGTGGAAGGTGCATTTTCATTAAACGGCCAGAAGAAAGAAAACTGGGTCTTCTACCGGTTATTCAAGGAAAATCCTTGCTTTTCAGGTCCCAGCCGGCGCCCAGGGCAAGAGCGGGGCTGACCGCGCGCGCAGCGGGAGCCCCCCGCGCCCCAGTGGCACGCGCCCCCCTGGCGCCGGGGCTGGGAAGCGAGCAGCCGCGGCTCCGGGCGGCACGTCGGGTCTAGGCTGGGCCCGGGGGCGGCGGAGGGCAGGGCCAGAGTCCGAGGCTGGGCGGCGTGGGGCGCCCACGCCCCGGGGACCGCGCGGGGAGGCCCGGGGACCTTGGCGGGGGCAGCAAGGAGCCCAGCCCCCCGCCACCAGAGGGCCCGGGTGGGGACGCGCGAAGGGGGGCGCCGAGAGGCCGAAAGCAAACTACGCAGTCGCAGTGGGGGCCCGAGCCGGCGGAGGGAGGGTGAGCCGCAGCCAGAGCCGCCAGGCCGGGACTCTCCCCCCCCCGCCCCCCGCCCCCCGCCCCAGGGCGTCTGAGCGGAGGGGGCTGACCCCGCCCGGCGCACTCCGCTTCTGGAACCTAAAACCCCCTGATTCCCCGCAAGCCCCAGCGCTGGGCCTGCTCCTCCCCCGCCGGCGCCTTTACCCCGTGGACCCCCGAGGCTGGGCTCTGGGTGTCTCCGCGCTCTGGGGGCTGCTCGAGCGGCGACACGGACCGAGCTTCAAACCGGGCACCCGCCTGGGGGCCGGTGCGCTTGGAGCGGGGCAGGAGCGGGGGTGGGGCCGGGCCGCCAGAACCCGAGGCGGCAGGGGCTGCGGGCAGAGCCGGTACCAAGTTCCGGCAAGAGCCCGGGGCCCGCCCCCCCGCCCCAGCACACACCGGAACTGCTGTCACTTACATGGACATTCCCAGGGCCACACCTTGTCTCTAAGTCCCGAGCAATAACTCGGGCCCAGTCCGGGAGGTGTGTGGGGAGAGGCGGGAGCGGCGCGGGCGGGGGCTGCGGAGCCCAGACCTCACTTCCCCGCGTCCCTCTCCAAGGCGAAGGGCAGCGCCCGAGCGGGCAGCAGCTGTCAGGCGCGCGCCACAGCTGTGTGTGCGCGTGTGTGTGTGTGTTGGGGGGGTCAAAGGCGGGCAAAGTTCACTTCCAACAGTGAGGGCTCTTGCACAGCGCCCCTCTCCTGGCTCCTCTCTCCCGCCAACGCAGGTCTGCTCCCTGCGCTCAGGAGAGAGGCGCTGCCAAAGGAGGAGGAGAAAATTAATTAATGAGGGAAAGAAATGTGTCTCTGATCCAGATGATAGACTCCCCGTCCCTGGGGGCAGAAATTCCTTGGAAATCAATAGCCGTGCATTCATTATGCCCCTCTTGATAAAATGCAAAGCTCTAAGATGGGGGTGTGATGGAGGAGGGGTCTACGTTGGTCATTAAACAAGGAGGAGGAGGCGGAAACCTGCCCAGGAATCTGAGCCAAGTCTCAGAGCCCATGTGGGCATCATTATCACAGGCAGGGGCCAGCTAGTTACTACGGTTGCTGAAGGGGGCAACAAAGCAGTGACATATGGGGAGGCTGGCCCTGCCCACCACCCCTTTCTTTCACTAGCCTGTGAGGAAGTGGGGCCAGGCTTGTGGAGGGCCAGCGCGCCGCCCATGTGCGCCACTCTTGGGTCTCGGCTGAGGCTCAGCAGAGGTGTGCCGGCATCACTTTCCAAGCGCTGTTGCCCACAGCACCGCACCCAGTCTAATTCCTGCACCATAAACCTCTTTACCTGTAGCCGCCCCACTCTCCTAGACTGCCACCTCCTGGAGGGGAAGGACCCTATTTTATGCCTCCTTTTCTCTCCAGCGTCTTGCCCTTAGCCCAGGCTGATGCTCAGCAGCATTCGCGGAAGGGCGATAAGGTAGAAATGGAGTGAGCAATAAAATAACTGGCCTCTGAGAAAGAATAGGCCGGATCAAGATTCCTAGTTCTGCATGAGGACAACACACCTCCCAGGTCCATGCTCTAGCTCCTTTATAGAAGAAGAGGAGACTCCTTTGGGGGCCTTCCTGCTCAGCCCATGTTAACACAGCTTGTTGAACCCCCTCTGGCTTTTCCTGCTGCTCCTTGTCCTCCTATGAGGCGCAATTTTAGTCAATGACAAGTACCTTGCTGGGCACCGTCAAGGACATAGATGTGCCCTAACTGGCCTTCTAGTCCATTGGTTGAAGGCTGGGCTGGGAATTGCCGTTATCTTTCTAGTCCCAGCAAATTCTAGATATCCTGGGCAAAGATCTGATCCACCCCAAGGTGGGCAGGAATTCCAGTTGACCAAAGAGAGGTGAGCTAGAAGGGGGTTCTCAGTGGGTCAGTGAACGCCCAGTGGGTTTACAGGTGCCTTCACAGATGGGGAAGATAAACCGGGGTGAGCTTTGAGGTACTCAGGGACTTGCCTTGATCTCTGAGTGTCCACCTAGCCCCAAACTTGTATTAGCTTGCATGTGTCTCATCTTTACCCCTTCAGGGTCTCTGCCCAGCTTCCCAGAGGCCTTCCTCTGCAGGGCACTTCCTTCCCACCAGGGGAGAATGCAGGGAACCTCCCGGTAGGGTGTCAGGAAGGATTAGTTATGCCTGGACACCCGGAGCGATGACTGCCAGTGGACTCTCTTGCTCCACCCAGCGATGCCCTGCTCCCCCCTGCGATGTCCTGCTCCTGGTCCATTCCCCATAGAGATTAAGTTGCTTTTAGCACTCCCAGGGGGACCACATAATGGATGGATCCCCGCTCCTTCTTGCAACAGCTAGTGAATATCCTTCTCACTCCCCTCTCAGGCTGCAAGAGGCGGGGGCAGTAGAGAGAAAAGAAAAGAAAAAGAAAAAACCATGGTGACGCCTGTGGTCTCTTCTTGGAATTTGAGTAGGGAGTGGATATGCTAAATACACAAGCAGGCGTTTATCCAAAGAAAAGATAAAATCCATGCAAATGCTCATTTAGGTTTATTAAAATAAGATCTACTCTTTGGGAAACACAGGCTTCCTTGGTGTTGGAGAGATCAGAAAGATTATTTATCTGATCTCTGCTTCCCATATACAGCCCATTGCTGCTCTCCAGCTCTCTCATTGCAGATGTGATAACATCTGGGCTGTTATTATCACCCTTGGCAAGCGCTGAGTCCCTGGAGACTCCAGCACCTGAACTATGTGGTTCTCCCTGGAGGCTCTTGATTTGCCTGCCACATTAGGGCCATATAACAGGTTGGCTAATTGATTTATTCTTCTGTTTAGGTTTTGCTTTCACAAAACCAAAAAAAAAAAAAAAAATGAATAGGTTAAGGCCAGACCAGAGCTTGGGGCCCATTCTTTCAAATTGGTTTGAATTAACATTTTAATAATTTTTAATAAAGTGGTTTGATCATGTCTCTTGTCCAATCGATGGATCCATCCGTCCATTCAGGGATAAGAGGTAGAGCAGCAAAACGATGACAAGGAAAAGAAAGTTCTCTTTAAAATGTCTCATTCCCTTTTTTCTCTGAAACGATTTCATTTTCCTGGAATGGGAGGGGGGGGCAGGGAGGGGAGAGAGAGAAGAAGAGAGAGAGAGAGAGGGAGAGAGAGAACTGAGAAGAGGAAAGAATCCCAAGAACACCCTGTTAACTCTTTTTCCTTTTGATTACCAGAAGTCTCAGATCACCCGGAGCTCGTTTGAAATGAGGGTTTGTACACGCTTAAAGGAGACAAACAATAAGAGAAACGCACAATTCCATTTCAACAGCGGTTCTCGAGTAGAAAGCACACGCTCCTTGTGGCTCCTAAGTGGCTGTCACTGTCGGTGCCTGACACAGTTATATTCACAACAACAACAACAACAACAAAGTGTGTGCAGGAAATGAAATTATATGGAAATCAATAGCGTCCGACTGCTTCAAACAAACGTCTGTCACCACGATGATTCTCCAGGAACCTATTAATAAGCCTTGCAAGAAACAGGTTCTTGCAGCAAAAGACAGCACCTTCTGCCTGTCTCTGCCGTTCTTTCCCCTGCACACAGAGGAATGCGCGGGCATCCTGCAACACTTGCACGGCCAGCTGGATGCAGGACGTGACAGCTCGTTAGGCAGCCCGGAGAGGAGATGCGCCCCAGCACAGCGCACACGCTCAGGGCCAGCCGGAGAGAATCCGGGGTAGGGGGGCGGGGTGCGGGCGGAAACCACAGTGCGGGGAGCCGGAGGGGGGGGGGGCTCCCTTGTTGTATTTCTCCCCCCTAAAAGGCGCCTTCCCTCAGACAATAGCTGGCCCTTTTGATCTTTGCAGGCCCGCGCGGCGAAAGGTGAGGCGCGCAGTGCGCATGTGCGGGCAGCTACAGGTGCCTCACCTGCGCTGTCCTTGCTGGTGGTCACTCGCAGAGCGACTCCCACGCGCTGGCGGCGGCCCGGCGAGCGCGCGCGCGCGCAGACGCACGGCGCCGCGTCGAGGCGCGCGCGCCGGAGCCCGGCGGAGCCAGCAGCTGCCTGTCAGCGCCGCGGGGCCGCGAGCTCTCGCGAGAGCTCCCCGGCCCGGCCGCGAGAAGTGGGGCGCAGGTGTAAGAGGAGAGCATCCCGTCGGCGCGCCGGGCTAGAGCGCTCCGAGAAGTGGGATCGCGAGGCCGGCGCGCGGCGCGCTCAGCGGTCCGAGGCAGCGCCCGGCGGCGGCAGGAGCAGCAGCGGCCCCCGGCGCGGCCGCCGCGCAGCACCCTCCGGAGAGAGGCCGGGGCAGCCGGCGGGCGCACTTTTCCCGCGGACTTTCGGGGTGTTTGTGGATTTACATGCCCAGCCGCCAGGATGATGTCCATGAACAGCAAGCAGCCGCACTTTGCCATGCATCCCACCCTCCCTGAGCACAAGTACCCGTCGCTGCACTCCAGCTCCGAGGCCATCCGGCGGGCCTGCCTGCCCACGCCGCCGGTAAGCGCCCCACGCCCGCGGCCCCGGCCCGCGCGCGCGCCCCCCTCCGCGGCTCCCCGGCGCCGCCGGGCCGGGGCCGCTGCTGCTGCTGCTGCTGCTGCTGCTGCGCGCGCGCCGGCCGCGGAGCGGGGATCAGCGGCCGGGGGTGGGGAGAGGACCCCGCCGCCGGGCTCGTCTCGTCCAGGGGCGCTTCGGGTCGTGCTCCCCTTGCCCCTGCCTCCCCGCCGGGGCCGCGACTCTCGACTTCCCCGCACTTTCTCTGCCGATTCCGAGCCTCCGAAAGGGGGTCTCCGTGCGTGTAGCGCGCGTGACGCGGGTCCCCAGCTGCGAGTCACATCTTCATTTCTTCTTTCCCCCCTTTTTTCGTCTCCCACGCCTGTCCCCGGACTGTGTTCCCCTCTCTTCCCCGCATCTCCCCGCCCCCCCACACTCGGCCCCTTCTCGTCGCCCCCCGTCTCGTCTCCAACGTGCCCCCCGCTCCGTGTCTCCCGGCCTGCGCCCTCCCCACCCCCGCTGTTATTTTGGTTGCTTTGTGTCTTCCCCTTGCTCCTCGTGCTTTCCGGCTTGTGTTCCGTGTCCGCGTGCGTGCGTGTGTGTGTGTGTGTGTGTGTGTGCGCGCGCGTGTGGCCTTTTTGGTTTTGTGGTTTTTGGTTTGGTTTGTGTCGCCTGCAGCTGCAGAGCAACCTCTTCGCCAGCCTCGACGAAACGCTGCTGGCGCGGGCCGAGGCGCTGGCGGCCGTGGACATCGCCGTGTCCCAGGGCAAGAGCCACCCGTTCAAGCCGGACGCCACGTACCACACGATGAACAGCGTGCCCTGCACGTCCACGTCCACCGTGCCGCTGGCGCACCACCACCACCACCACCACCACCACCAGGCGCTGGAGCCCGGCGACCTGCTGGACCACATCTCCTCGCCCTCGCTCGCGCTCATGGCCGGCGCGGGGGGCGCGGGCGCGGCGGGCGGCGCCGGCGGCGCCCACGAGGGCCCGGGGGGCGGCGGCGGCCCGGGGGCGGCGGTGGCCCTGGCGGCGGCGGCCCGGGCGGCGGCCCCGGGGCGGCGGCGGCCCCGGGGGCGGCGGCGCCGGCCCGGGCGGCGGGCTGCTGGGCGGCTCGGCGCACCCGCACCCGCACATGCACGGCCTGGGCCACCTGTCGCACCCGGCGGCGGCGGCCGCCATGAACATGCCGTCGGGGCTGCCGCACCCCGGGCTGGTGGCGGCCGCGGCGCACCACGGCGCGGCGGCTGCAGCCGCGGCCGCGGCGGCCGGGCAGGTGGCGGCGGCGTCGGCGGCCGCGGCCGTGGTGGGCGCGGCGGGGCTGGCGTCCATCTGCGACTCGGACACGGACCCGCGCGAGCTCGAGGCGTTCGCCGAGCGCTTCAAGCAGCGGCGCATCAAGCTGGGCGTGACCCAGGCCGACGTGGGCTCGGCGCTCGCCAACCTCAAGATCCCGGGCGTGGGCTCGCTCAGCCAGAGCACCATCTGCAGGTTCGAGTCGCTCACGCTCTCGCACAACAACATGATCGCGCTCAAGCCCATCCTGCAGGCGTGGCTGGAGGAGGCCGAGGGCGCACAGCGCGAGAAAATGAACAAGCCCGAGCTCTTCAACGGGGGCGAGAAGAAGCGCAAGCGGACTTCCATCGCCGCGCCCGAGAAGCGCTCCCTCGAGGCCTACTTCGCGGTGCAGCCGCGGCCCTCCTCCGAGAAGATCGCGGCCATCGCCGAGAAACTGGACCTCAAAAAGAACGTGGTGCGGGTGTGGTTTTGTAACCAGAGACAGAAGCAGAAGCGGATGAAATTCTCCGCCACTTACTGAGGGCGGGCGGTGCCGGGAGGGGCGGATGGGGGCGCAGAGCGGGCGCGCGGGGGCTTCCCAGGGCCCGCACCGCGCCCCCAGCCCGCCCGCCCGCCCGCCCGCCCCCTCCACCCCGGCGCGCAGAGGCCGCCGCCTGCTCGCGTCCAGGAGGCCTCCCGCGCCCGCCTGCGCGCCTCTCTTCGCCCTGCCCCTGCTGCCCCCAGCCTAGAAGACAGGGGTGCTGGGTGTGGACGCCGGAGACGCAGGGGTGGAGGCGTTTGGGTGAGCAGGGAGTCGGGGAAGGAAAGTAGGCACCAGAGCAGGGGTTTGGAGGAGCAGGATGGTCCTGGGGGGTAGGGTGGGGGGAAGCTCGGGAAGGGTATGGGAATGGACTGTTTTTGACCAGAGACACTTACAAAAATCTCCTGGGGACCAAGGAACTATATAAAAAACAAATGTACCAACCACCACTAAAAAAAAAAATTTAAAAAACTAAAAAAAAAAAAAAAAGAAAGAAAAAGAAAGGTAAAGACCAACTAAAACAAAACAGAACAAAAGCAAAGGAAAAAATGCTTTAGAAATTTAACTCCGGGGAGCCGCATCCTGCAGCTTCATTTCCCCCAAAGGAAGAGAGAAAGCGCCACCATCCTTACCCCCGCCCCAGCCACACGTGCGGACTGAGTCAAAATAGGAAAACCAAACGAACCCGAAAGTGAAATTCTGGGTAGGGAGCTAGTTGTTCTCGGTTTAATTTCCCCCTAAGTCTCACCTCCACCCTATCCATGTCCTCTTTAACTTAGGTCACCCCTGCAAGGAGACTCTGACGGCTGTTCCCCGGGGCTAGAAAGTGAGTCAGGGCGCAGCTGGGGGGGAGATGGCGGTGCCTGCTGGTCTAGCTGGAGTCCCAGTTTCCCCTGTGGCCCTGCCGCTGCTCCTGTGACCTGGGCATGGGCAGGTGCACGTTTTCAGGACGAGACAGGCACAGTCTGCAAGTTGACTAAAAGGCAGAATTAAGGGGCTCTCTAATAAATATTTTATTCTGGGAAAATAAAAATTTTATCAAGGGCCCCCCCCCGCCCTTTACATGTTTTGCTCTTATATCAAAAATCTCCAAAACAGACCATTTCAAATGAGCTTTGTTCCCCACTCACAACTTGCTTGCCCAATTCATTTACTTTACTTTTTCTGAATATGGTTTGAATTTGGTACTGAATTTTTTTCCCTAACGATTCAAATAGACACACGGGGTGGAAGATACGAGGAGAGAGACTCTCCTGTCTTCTCCGCAGACAAACCCATCTAGTTCTTCCAGGTCTCCTTTCCTTCTCTCTTGGAGAATAGGAAATCGCTGAAATACTGAAGAGTTTCAGCTTTCAAGGGAGCAGGACTTGACTGTGAGCAAATCAACTCATGTCCAGAGGAGAGGAAGACAGATTTAAAACCCTCTGTTTCAAAAGCCTCTGCATGTTGGGGGTGGGGGGTGGGGGAGGGAAGCAGGACAACCGCGTTTCATTATTATAATTATTATTCAAAACTACTTTATTGCTGGGGATAAATGTTGGGTAGCAAGAACTTTAATTTGCACTACCAGTCTCCCAAATAGAAAATCATGTATAGTATTTCATAGTAATTATCAAGGTACTTTATGAACTGCTGATGGAGAAATGAAGACCAGACAGCTGAAGGTGGTTAGGTAAAATGCCTGCTTTGTGCACAAGATACTCTTGAGCTCATGTGAAGATGGTTTGTGACCATTCTTTAATCATTAAAAAAAAAAAAAACCGAAAAAAGGACAAATGAGGGAAAAAAAACCCTGCTATTTTACAAGACTGAAATAAACCATGCATGATCTGAAAGGTGCAGAAAGAAACACAATTAGGTCTCACTCTGGTTAGACATTATTTATTTAATTATGTTGTATATCATTGTTTGCAGGGCAAACATTCTATGCATTTGAAACTGAGCACTAAACTGGGCTAGCTTTCTGATAGACGGTTTTGTGGATAGTGTGATTTCACAGTCGACTGCCTGTTTTCACCGAAAACACAACATTCTTGTCATATTCTTGTATTTAGAAGAAAAGGAAAACAAGGAAGATTATTGTAAATATTTTCTTTCATGCACACACTCACATAGTGGTTGCAAACTGCCAGCGTTAATCCTGAAATGTCCCACGGATTGATCTATCTGTCCATGTATGTCTGCTGAGCTTTCTCCTTGGTTATGTCTTTGCTCTATTACCTCCCCCCCTCCCACTTCTAGCAGAACCATTTCTGTGCGCCAGAATACAACCGGGGGATGTGTCCCAGTACACTTACAAATAAAACATAACTGAAAGAAGAACAGTTTTATGATTTGGGTGCATTTTTGTATTTATACTGGGCCAAGTCCTGGTAGAGTCGTTTAACGAACGAGACTCACTTCAACCAAAAATACAGGGAAGGGAGAGGATGTTGCAAGGGGGTGAGAAGAGGGGAGAGGGTGAGAATGATGTATTTTTCTGCTGAATCAGAATTCACTTTCAGATAACATGTGAAAAGCGGTGCTCTGAATAAAATGAATTCTATATTAGTTGCCTGTGTTGATCAAAGTTTCTTTTCCTTTCTTTTCTTTTTTTTTTTTTTTAACTGCAGAAACTCTTAAACCATAGCCCTTACCTCACTGTGGTAGAAGGTAATAAGTAACCAGGCATCCCCAAAATATTTGAACTGAGGTTCAGGGGACAGAGCAGAGGCATTTGCAGGTTTATATATGTTGTTGGAACTGAAGACATTTCTAACAAATGTTGTACCTAAATCACTTCGCTTTGGAGGTTAGTAAATATTAAAAAAAAAAAAATTCACTGATTTGTCCGGCATCATGTCAAATGCCTCTGTTCGTTTGGAACATGTAGTGTGCGACCTACTGCTGCAGAAGGGGCCTGAGATTCACTAATACTTGGTGGCCTAGGACTAGATCAGATGCCAAATGTACAAAGTTTGTTAATAGCTGGGATTATATATTCTGAAATCATCCTATTTTAGCCAAATCTTTTTAATTTCACCGGCAGATCTGTGAAACAAAACGCTTGATGTTCAAAAAACAAATAGTACATTTAAAAAGCTGTAATTTTAAACAGTTGTTCATGTTAAAAATAAGCACTAGAGGTATTTTTAAAAATAGATCTCTTCCATTGAAATTGATTTGTTTCTGTTGTTACTGACTTGAAATGTCATCAAAGTTTTTAATAAAATGCATTTGTAAAAAGACATGTTATTTTATAGAAAAGTATGACCGGATTTCATTGTTGGAGAACCAGAAAATGAACAAATGAAAAGATTTACAGAGGCTGTTTTTTTTTTTTTTAATCTGCCCCAAACGGAAATGTTGCAGGCAAATACATTTGTATTATAGAATGACCAATGTATGTAATATGAACTTAAGCATTTGTTTTGTATTAAGTAAATTCCTTACCAAATAAAAAAGAAGACAATATTATGGTAATAAAACAGATTATGAAAATACATGCTTTGCAGAGTTTCCTATTTTATGCAGTAGGAAACTATGCAAAACGAAATAGTCTTTGCTATCTGGTGAATGAATCTGTGTAAGGCCGCCGGGACGAATAATAAGACTATACCAAGGCATTTAACTGTCAGTTCACGAAGAAACAAACTAACAAACGTCCTCCTGAAGAGAGTGTAAAGCTTTGCCACTCAGCGGTTGACTTTTCAAAGTTTTCAGGTTCGGAAGAGCAGAACTTCACGCTAAGCGGCACCACTCACTGGGTGTGAAAAAGTACAACGTGTGCCTGTGATTCTTTTTCAAGAATAACTGCATAGTAAGTTTGAGAAGTGTGAAATTGTGCTTCACTTGTATTTCAACTTCTTAGGAAACTCGGGCGGCGATGAAATAGGGAAGCCAAAAGAAAAATAAGCATGAAACACACCTGCCATATTTATGCCATCCATTCGTCCTACATTTTCTCTTTTCCTCTTCAGTCCTAGCCCCGGGCCCTGCTACTTCTATAGGTTAAAAAAAAAAAAAATGTCCTCAAGACACACCTATCTTCTTCTGGATAGATTTTTGTTTGTTTCATGCGTGTTCTAAAATTGCTCTCAATTTCGATTACACTCATAAATAAACCGTAGGCACCCACTGCCATGATTGCATCGATTTTTACTTTCTTGTGATACTACTACTTGGTTCCAACACGTGGCCACGTGAGAGAGCACTGGGCACCTTGGGCCCAGAACTCACTCGACCAGCTCCCGCCCTCCATCCCCAGCCCTGTCGCCTGGCCTGGGCCTCTCCCCCCACCCCTCCCCGCCAACCCTGCACGACGCACCCCTGCTCCACCTTCCACGTGGAGGGGCTTTCGCAGTGCAGTCCGAGCTGCTGGAATGGTGTGGCTTCTGCCCCTGGCCTTGCGCACCCCACGCCACGGCGCTGGTGGCCAGCAGGTGGATAAAGGCGATGCGCACAATTGCTGTCTGGTGCGGTTCTGCTCCACGGTGCGGGGGCCGCCGCGGCCCTAGCCCCCCTGTGAGAGCCACGCAGTCCTTGCGGACGGTTTCAGAGGAGACCGTGAGCTTAATTGATTTTTTTAAAAATAGCCGAATTTTAATTCTCACGGGGCGCCTCTTTTCCACCTGCGAGATAAGCCTTGTCGCCATAATTACGTTATTTAATATTTGATCAAACCTCCGCGCCCCCGCGGCCGGCGGTGCCGGGCGGCTCTCGCCCTCCGGGGCAGCCGGCGAGTGGCGCGGCCGGGCCGGGCCGGGCCGGGCACGTGCGTCGGGGGCGCGCAGCTCCCCACTCGGCCGGCCTGCGCCTTGAATAATTCATGGTCTGAGAGCTCTGGAAATTAATAAAACGGATGATAACAAGAAGCTAATTAAAAACTTTCTTAATTGTTGTCAAGTCAGCCGGACGGGGGACGGGCCGGCCTCCGGCTCCCCCTCCCGGAAATCTGGGCGCTCCCCGGGGCGGGGCGCAGGCCCGGGAGGGCCTCGTAACTTGAGCTGCCGGCGCACCCC